GAACAGCACTTGGCACGCAGCCAGTGGCCCAGGAAAATCGTCTAATGTCATTCAATGGCTCCCAAGATGCCGTGATTCTCTGCTCTGACTCATCCCTGCTGGGACGACGTTCGCTTGGACCTCGTTCCCAGTTGGCAGTTTCCAAGGAGGCTCCTTCTGAGGGGCTTGGATTCTCCTACACCGTCCTCCATTTAAAAAGAGTGACAGCAACAGCCAGCCAGCCTTCTCTTGACAGCTGTGGTCGGGAGGTAAAGCTGTGGCTGTGGCTGTGGCTGTGGCCGCCGACCGGGTGGCTGGGTCAGTGATGGGGTCAGCACCCAGGCTGGATTCTGTCCCCTCATTGCAAATCCTCTGCTCCCCAGGGTCCCTCCTGCCCCCTCCGCCCTTCCTGCTCACGTCACCCGCTGTCCTAGGAGCTTCGGGAAGGAGTCACAACCTGTTCCACTCTCCTCTCAGTCGCGGGTTTGAATTTATATACAAGGCGACAGCCTACAAATGACAGGTGTGGCATAAGTATTCCTCGGTGTCCACAAGCGTCTCTCAGGTGTGAGAGGGGAGTGCTCACCATTCGGTTTAGCTCGTACACAGCACACTGTCGCGTACATCTGTCACTGCAGATCGCAATGTGTGTTTGCGAAACCACCCCCTAATGCCTTCCCCTGCAATCAATTTATGGTCTCACACACGTTGTGAGTTTGAGCCGCCTGATAAATCTGTGATAAGAGTATTGTTGTTCCCATTCTACAGATGAGGAAACAGAGGCACATCAGGGAGAAACTGACAAGGAAGAGACGAAAGCCTACAGCATCGGACTTGACCATTGTCCTCCCCCCATGTAGCCGACAGCAGCATCCCTCTGTTCTGTGGGTTTGAGGAAAGGCCGGAGTCACACTGAAGGCCCCATGTGTGTAATCAGAAGGTCTACGTGTATATGTGTACATGGGGATACGTGCACATCTATCTTACAAGCGTACCCATCTGCCAATTGCAAAAGTTTCAGTTTCTTGCAAAGATCACATGAGCCTCGGCCCGAGGCAATCCTGACGACCCGGGGCCATGCGAGGAAGCGGGGGACTTGGCCCCCAGGGTCTTTGACCCCACTCCACGCAAAGCCCAGTAAGTTTCTGTCAAAACTTCTCTCTCCGATCTGCCATTCCGTCAGGCTGTAGAGGGTTCTAGAAAATCCACACACACTTCTAGCTTGAGGGCTCATGGCTGTAAATCATTCAAATGTTCTCTCCCCTTTCTGGGTCCTACTGCTTAAAAACCTAAATCATAAAGGGAGCTGGTATTTGTGGTCCACTGTACCATTTGACCTTCCCAGTACCTGGTGGGGTGGGGTAGCGCTCTTCCCATAGTGCAGAAGGGAAGACTGAGGCCTGGGTCGCAATTGGCCCAGTGGGTTGAGAACTGGCCTCCCTGCGCTTCTTTTTCATAGGACCCTCTGACAATGAGTATTCAGGGCAGCGGCCAGGGGTCACACAAGTTTCTGCCGGGGTGAGCAAGCCCTGAGGAGATGGGGAGTGGAATCCAGGCCACTTCGCTTGGGGCCCCAGGAGGGGCTCAGGTCAAAGCCCTAGGGTAGGTTTCTGCAGTGGGGCAGTGTTGACAGGCCTCTGGCTGTTGGCTCTCGGGCCTCACAGCTGCTGGGGACTCTGAGCCTTTTGTCCAGACTCTTAAAGATTCTAAGAAGTCCCTCCCAGCTCTGCTAATCCCCGACCCTTTGATGCAGTTTACAAGCCCCTAGCTTCCCTCAGGCCAGGACTTTTAGGCTTCCAAGGTTGGGCCAGGATTGCTGGAAGTTACCAAGGGGAACTGCTGGGTGGGGGGGGAGGCAGCAGGTCTCCCCCACCCCCACCATACAGGCTCTCTCCCCATTGTATGGAGGGGAAGCTGAGGCTGAGATAGGGGTGGGCACTGGCCCAAGGTCACCCAGGTAGGAGGTGATGACCGGAGATTTGAACCCGTCCAAAGCTGGCTCTGTTCCCGCTCAGCCATGCCACCCGGCTCTGCCCATCCGATGGACCAGGGAGACCAGGGCCCCGTCTGGTCTGGAGGTGAGCGCCCTTTGCTGACCTCACTCTGCGTGGATCTCCGACAACCAGTCTTGGGGGTTTATTTATTTATTGGTGTACATTGAGGAAGCCACCCAAAGCAGGAGGAAAGAGGGTGAGGAGAGAGGGAGGTAGGAAAAACAATGGAAAAAAATTTTTTTTGTTGTTTGTGGGTGGAAAACCATCTGTTTTCCAAGGAAAAGCATTAATTCCACACAGACCCAAAGGTCCACAATCTGAGGCGGCGCCGTGAGCACCAGCTTAGAGGAGCACCAACGAAGGCCAGGTTTCCTTTTTATTTCTTTGGGCCCCAAGCTTGAACCTCCGGGCCCTTCGCTCACCTTTGCCTCAGTCTCCCAGACGGAAGGCTCTTCCCTCACCTGCTGGCCCTGCAGGGGGCTGGCCCTAGCCCCCTCTGCACGCCTCCTGACCCATCATCCTGTCCCTCTCCTACTGCAGCCAGACCCACCAGTGGGGCTCAGCTGCAAACAGGTCTGGGTGCTGGATTCCACACCCCAACCCAGTTTCTGCCCAGGATTCGGCAAATGCCAGGCCCTGCCATCTGTGCCAGCAGCCTGGGGGGGTGGGGGAGGGGGCTTCCGGTCTAGGGTCCGAGACTCCAACAACCATCGCCCCTGCCCTTCTGCAACCCAAGTGCTGCCTTGCCCAGCCTGGTCCTGGGCAGCAGGAGAACATAAGCCCTCACCTTGGCCCCGGGGGGGCCGGGGGCCCTGGAAACCCTAGCTCCAGTCTGCACATTGGGAAGGCTCAGCGGGGCAGGAGGGCCCTCCCAGACCCCCTCCTCACCTGGATCCAACCGCAGTACTGCCTGGAAATCTTTGAATCAGGGTCCCACCAAAGTCTTTCTCCTTTCTGTTTTTCGCTCCCCACCCCCACTGCCTTTATTTAAATATTTTTCTTCTTCTCTCTGTTTGCCTGCTTTTCCTCTTTTTCTACCCCTCTCCTTTGTGTCCCTTTCTTTAAAAACTCAGGCAAGTTAGGAGCCAATCATATTCCTGGGCATTAATTAGTCCGAAAGAAGGTGCTAAGGATAAAAGGTAAAAATACAAACCAGTCCTGCGACCGGCCACCTCCTCTGGGCAGCCTGACCCTCTGTAGCTCAGAAATGGAAGGACATTGGGCGGGTCCAGAGATATTTTTGTGACTCCTTTGGGAGAACTCTCTTGGATCTAGCCTGTCCACAATATACAGGGACCTTATGATGCCTTGACTGTGCCAGGGGCGGGTCTGTTTACCGCGGCGCTGGGCCCCAGGGAGGCCGTGGCTTTGAATGTGAACCCTGGAGGCCAAGAGGCCAGGGTTTGATCCCGAACTTAACACCTCCTAGCTGTCTGGCCCCAGGCAAGACCCTTAACCTCTCAGAACCTCAGTTTCCACATCTAGAAAATGGGAGGCATGATCACCTCTAACTCAGGATGCCCTTGAGAAACATCAGTAAGAGAAATCACCTCAAGCACTGGGCCAGTGCCTGGCTCCCAGGAGGTGTCCGATGAGTTGCTCGCGGATATTGATTGCCATGTTATTCGTCGTAAGGTCACGGGAGTGGGGGCAGTGGAGGACCCGGGGCACTCAGGGCCTGACCTGTTTGTGCAAGAATGGATGATGCAAACGAGAACAGCGCCAGGTGGGGGCCACCGCCAGCTCCCAGAGGAGGCCGAGCTGTAAACAGGCCTGCCACCAGCTGTCGGGACCCATCCAACTGTTTTGGAAGTGACTGGGGCATCTGCCTGGGGCTGCCTCGCCCCTGCTCTACCCCAGGCCTCGGATGCCGAGGGCAGGGGCCGGGGCTGCTCTTCTGGGCCCAGCCGGCTCTGCCCCGGGGCCCCGGGAGCTCTCTCCACCCCTGCCTTACTTACACCCCAGCTTTCCCTTATGGGCGGAGAGTCCTGCCACCCTCTGCAGGGGGGTGGCCCCTGCCCTGCCTGCTGTCTCCGTCAGGCACTGCCCCTCTTCTTCCTCATTCCCCTCCATTCCCCTGGCTTCCCGAGGAGCTACCTAAAGTCAGATCGCACCTGAACCCCCTTTGCTCCAAGGCAATCAGCAAACGTGCCATCTTCCCGCCAGGCCGGGGGTATCTGCATCTCCCTCTGGCTTCCCTCCCCACCACGCCAGTGTTGCCCCACTTCATGAGCCTTTGTTGTAGCCGCTTGGCACTTCCCGACACCCCAGACCCACCCTGACTCGTCTGCCTTTGCCCCAGCTGCCCCTCCACCTGGAGGTCCCTCGCCCTGTCCTTCTGCCTGGTGACATCCATCCAGCCATCTTTTCAAAAGCTGTCCCCTCCCTGCATATGCCCTTGTGCTCACACACACACATACACACAAGGCACTCTAGCGTCTCTGCATTCCCTCAGCGCTCTGTTAAATCTCACAAAGCATTTCTCATTCTTTACATGGTGTCAGTCTCTGTTTGCAGACTGGATTTCCTCTCGTAAGCCCCGAGCAGCTTGGAGACACAGCTCACCGCACCGAGCTGCTATCGCCCCACAAAACTGTGCACACAGAGGCACGCCATGGACGTACGTGACACTGATGCCCCCATGCATAAAAATAGCTATCTATTCACCTGACCTGAAAGCCTTTCTGAAAGTCACTTGTCCCCCCCGGATACTGCCCAAGGCCTACGGAACCCACAATAGCAACACCGATAACCCCATTTCATTTCCACATCCAGAAGTGCACCGCAGGGTGAGACTGTGAGTGAGCGTCCCCCAGAAGAATGCGTACGTGTGTGCACGCAGCTGATTCCACGTCCCCCAGGTCCAAAGTGAAAGTCACCAGCATGCTTTGTGACACAAGAGACTAGAGAGAGGGACGCAGGCAAGCGGTCTGATGATAAGAATCACGACCAGGCAGCGCAGTGGTTAAGTCCCAGCCAAGCAACCTTCCCTGAGGTCTGTGTAAGAACGTTGAAAGCATGCATTACCTGTTAGGCTCTGAAACAGGGGCCCAATTCGGGGGAACTAAAAAGGGTTTTCTTGAGAGTGCCTTAATTCAGAACATCCTCCCTGAGTTTTCCTCCTGCCCTGGCCCTGAGCTTTTGGCCGCTCTGCCCAGGCAGTTCTGAAGCACTTTCCTTTGAAGCAGGGAGTTTATTTCGGGCCCACCGCATGACCAGTGATGGCAAGCCAAACTATAAGATGTTGTGCATCTCGGATTTCCTGTTTGAAGATTGCACCGGGGGAGGCTGCCATGCCGCCTTCGGTTCCTCCACGGCGGCGCGTCAATTACGGACCTCGCGGCAGAGAGCATCTCCGAGCGCTGGCCCTCACGTGACGTCGTCGTTTGTGATCCTTGACATGGAGGCCATATATGGGTATGTTTCTGGAACTCCCCAGGACGGAGAGAGAGAGAGAGAGAGAGAGAGAGAGAGAGAGAGAAGGGGAAAGAGGGTGGGGAACGGGAGCGAGCGGCGGGGGGGGGGGGGGGGGGCAAAAAAAAGAGACAGAGCCGGGGACACTGGGGGGCGTGAGAAGGGAGGCAAGTGCGGAGATGATGGAGAAGAAGGAAGAGGTGAAGGGGGGAGAGGATAAGGCATAAGTGAGAGAAGAAAAGAAAGAAGAAGACATAATTGGGGAAAGCGGGGAAGCAAAGGGAGAGGGACACTGAGATAATCAGGGGATGGAACGGAGCCAGGAGGGACTTGACAGAAGGGGGAGGAGAGGGGGAGGGGAGGGGGGAGACAGGCGGCTGGGAAGAGGGGGAGGAGAAGGGCGGATAGAGGGAAGGCAGGGAGGCAGAAGATGGACGGAACAAGAGCAAGGGAAACAAGGGAGGGAGAAGGGGCTTTGGGTTTGGGGTAAGGGGCCTGGGCAGACGAGGCAGAGCTTGCCACAGGGGCAGGGTGGTTCAGGGATCCAGCTGCGGGGGGCCGGGACGCCGTGGGGTGCACCTGGGCTGCAGAGGGTAGGGGAGCAAACAAGCAAGCATGCGGACAAGCCCCAGCAGGCACACAGCGGAGGGAAGCCTTCCTCCAGGGCCAGGGAAGAGGGCCCCTGTTTCTGGGATAGACCCAATGGCACAAGATGTCAGCATCATCAGGTGGCAAGGACAACACCCACGGCCACGTGCACTGAGCGTCCGGGATGCTCCTGGCACGTTGCCAGACGCTTCCATCCCCACAGGCTGGCATGGGGGAGGGGGCTGGAAACGTCACTTGGTCCATTCTGAATATTCTTCTGAATTTCAATTTCGAAGGCCCTTTCGCCTCGGAGGATTTTGGGTTTCCGACCCCGTAGCATGATTTCTTCATGCGGGGCGAAGGGCCAGCCAGGCACCCCTCCACTAACAAATGACGTCATCCTGCTGTACCCACACAACCTTCCTAGCAGGTGCTATGTCGCAGATGAGGAAACTGAGGCCCAGAGAGGTTGGGGGACTTGTCCATAATCCCACAATGTACAAGTGGTGGTTTACATCTGAACCAGAAGTTTCTGACGCAAAAGGCAGTGCTTTTAGCCACAGCTCCACCCGCCATATAACAGGGAATCCGAATGTTGGGGCCAAACAAAGAACCCCACCCACAAGGCTACGAAAGTAAATTGGTGGACATTTGCTTTTTTTAACCTTGGACCTTACTCATCCTAGCTGGGAGCACTGACACTGCAGTAAAGGTCCGCAAAGCCCAAGACAAAGACAGGCCGGCCTGTCCGTTGACGTCACGGGTTGGTCACGTCCGGAACGAACGGGTCGGGCTAAGTCAGCAGTTCCTGCCTGAAGCCGCACAGTAGAACCCTATGAAACGTACCTGTGCCTGACTCTTCCCCCAGAGATCCTTCTTGAATGCATGTGAGCAGAGGGCCGAACAGCACTGACTTTTTAAAACTTTTTATTAACGTATCATACACACAAAAAGCGCACATAGGTGCACAGCTCCACCGAACTTTGCAAACAGAGGACACTCAGCATCTGCATCGAAGGGAGGATCTTAGCAGCCCTCCCCCACTTTTGCCCCCGTCTCTACACTACCACCCACCTCCTCCTGCCAAGGAGGGGTGACCACTCCCCTGACCTCTAACAGTAAAGGTTGTTTTGAATGTCCTCTGAACGACCTCGCCCCTGTGTCTCCTTCCCGTGTGGTGTGAGATTCGTCCACATGACGGGTGTCCCGTCCCACGGCCGTGCGGTATCCTGAGCTGCCGGCTTCTCTGTTCCACTGGTGGCGGACTTCTGGGGAGTTTGGGACAATGATGAACAGTATAGCTCGAACATTCCAGCACACGTCTTTTGGTGCGTGCGTGTCCGCATTTCTGTTGGGTGTGCACCTCAGATGGGAGTCGCTGGGCCCCAGGGTGGGCATGTGTTCAACTCTAGTAAAGCGACCAGTTTTCCCAAGTTGTCATACCAGTGACAAATCCCCATTCCTGTCAGCCACGTAGAAGAATCCCGGTTGCAGGGCACCTGGGTGGCTCAGTCGGTTAAGTGTCCGACTTCGGCTCGGGTCTTGATCTCGCGGTTCGTGAGTTCGAGCCCCGCGTCGGGCTGTGTGCTGACAGCTCGGAGCCTGGAGCCTGCTTCGGATTCCGTGTCTCCCTCTCTCTCTGCCCCTCCCCCACCCACACTCTATCTCTCTCTCAAAAATAAAAGGAATTCAAAAACAAGAATCCCAGGTGTGCTAGCTTTTCTCATATCAGCCATTCTGATAGGTTTCAGCGGTATCTTGTTTCAGTTTTAATTGGCATGTCCCGGATGACAAACGACATCGAGTGTCGGAGAATCCCTGGCCTCAGTGATCTCTGAGGCCTCCACCTTTGTATAAGACCCCAGAGGTGGTCCTGTGGAACAGTCCTCCAGGGAGCATTTTCATGGAGACGTGGGTAACAGAGGGACCGATAGGTGCTGAGGCAGAAAGCGAACAACTGGTCGACCTGCAGGGAGGCAGGAGGAAGGACGTGACCACCAAGGAAAAGCCCCAAGGCTCACACTTGGCACCAGGGAGGGTCTATTTTCTGATCCTAAATAGAACCTTCCCTCCCTCCCTCTCTAGTCCCTCATCCCGCTTCATCTTTCTCTATAACAGTTATCACCCCCCCTTACCAATTACGTATTTATGTCACTTGTTTATTGCCTACCTCTCCCACCTAGAACAGTCTTTCTGTTCCCTGCTGCATGTCAGTGCCTACAACAGTGCCTGGGACGTAGTAAGTGCTCACTAAGTAACTGTTGAATGTATTTGCTACCAGGCAAGCCACACAGCTCCCAGGTCGGAACTGGGGAGGTCTGTAGCCTTGTCTGTCAGCCTCAGCCTGACCCTTGGCCACCCGCCCACCCTCACACGCACACCCACACACACCACACCTGGCTTCTCCCTTCCAGACTTCCCTTCTTGTTTATTTTAGTCTCAATTCCCATAATTAAACGTGTGTGTGTGTGTGTGTGTGTGTGCGCACACGTATATGATGCAGGGGCAGTTCATAGAGCCCCACACCTAGCAGGGCCCAGAGAGGATGCCAAGAGCAGCATATTTTCCTAGGACAGCGATGCCTCTTCCAGGAAGGAGAGAAAGAGGGGGAGAGTGGAGGTAGGAAGAGCCAGCTAAGTGGAGAGGAGGGAGCTGGGATGCGGGTCAGTGCCGAATCCTGAGAGGCTCTGACCCAGCACTGGTATATCACCCTCTAAAATAAGCACCCCTGCGGGCTTGGTGTCCTGGCCCCCGGCCCTGGCTGCCTCTTGATAGCAGTTTATTTTGGTTTCAAGAGATGAAGAACAGAGAAGAGTCTGATCCTTACCCTGGATGAGAAGTAGGGGGCAGACAGAGGGCACATGGTAGGGGGTTGAGGTGGCCAAGTCCTGAGAGGGAGGAAGACGCATCCATGGAAGGGAAGGAGGGGACTGAAGAGAAGACAGAGCCAAATCCCCTAATCTCTTCCTTTCTTTAAAATGGGCACTGTGTCCTCTGGCATGTGGCCAACAGTACTTTCCTCTGGAACAATCCGGAACCCCTCAGCTCGGGGGTGGGGGCATGGCAAACTCCAGGGAGAGAAGACAGAAAATCTTCTCATTTCTAGAGCACAGAGTCGGGGTATAGCCCTCACCCTTCAGACGGGACAAAGGGGCAGGACGGCTTCATGTTCTATCAATACCCTACGTGTGGGGGCGACACCCACAAGGATGAGGGCCCCTAGGGACGGGCGAGGGGCTGTCTGGTCCAGCCCTGTTCTCTCCAGTGCCACCACATGTACGTAAGGGGACGAACCATGGGCTCTTACAAGGGTTTCCATCAAAACGAGCAAATCTGGGGGCGCCCGGGTAGCTCAATCGGTTGAGTGTCCGACTTTAGCTCAGGTCATGATCTCGAGGTTCGTGAGTTCCAGCCCCGCATCGGGCTCTGTGCTGACAGCTCAGAGCCTGGAGCCTGCTTCCGATTCTGTGTCTCCCTCTCTCCACTCCTCCCCTGTTCATGCTCTCTCTCCCTCTCTCTCTCAAAGAAAAAATATTAAAAAAAATTTTTTTTTAAATAAGCAAAACTGAGGTACAAGCTCAATCGTGGGACGTGATGCTCTTGAAGCCGGTTGGGGCCTTCCAGAGCCGTAACTGACCCTTCAGACAAGAGTGGCCAGGGCAGACCAATAAGACAGAAAGAAACAGCAGAGCCACTAGCCTCCCCGCTCCCCACAAACTGCTGACTGTCCTCAGCTGGCAGTGTGAGCTACCCCTGCCCAGGGGTACAGAGTGAGGCCATCTGGTGTCCCTCCTGGCTCTCAGCTGTTGGGGAAAGACCCATGTGCGGGAGAGATCCTGGTGTCCAGGACCATCTGCCTGAGGGTTCCGACTTTCTCCAGGGAACGTCTTGCCCCCGGAGGGTGTCCTGGGCCTGGTGGGGACATGGCTGGGACATGCTTGGCTAGTCCTGTGCAGATGGTGTCTTCCTTGTTGGGAGATGCCACCCACATGCAATCCCAGTTGGCACCGTGGCGTCTTATTTCCAGCACGGGCTCCGGCATCTGATAATCCCGGCCTGTTCCTCACTTGCAGCGGGACCCTGGCCGTCGCCCCGCACCTCACTGACTCTGTCTCATCTTCTGAGACATGAGCCATCTTCCCAGGGCTGCTAGGGGGTTAGATGGGATCCCAGGGCTGAAAGAGCCCACCCAGGGCTCAGCACTCAGGAGACACTCATCCTTGGGACTTCTTCCTCCCCACCCGGGAGGGAGGAAGGTGCATCTATAGAAAGGGAAGGAGGGGATCACCTGCCACCTGCAGGGAGGTGACAGGAGGGGAAGGCATCTCCCAGGGGTCAGGCAAGCTCAGGTGGCCGGTGGGGCTTCCGCTGGTCCATCCTGGAGGCTGCTGACCCGATCAGCTGGTCAGGTCACTTGACTTACCATGCCTGGGTCACCCTTTAAAACTCAGAAACAAAGCTAAACCCAACTTAGCTGCTGGGAACATGTTTTCCATGCACATAAATGTGTCCATGGCAGGCCTGGGAGCTTTCTATTGCCTCTTGGCAGGAGAGAAAGGCCTCTCGCAACAAGACCACCATGTAGACCCTCCCACCCATCTTTCCTTCCCAGGGATGAGCCCCTGGTTGTGCCGGATGCTGGACAGCCTGCGGGGTGCAGCAGCTCCTGGCTGGCCCCTCACCATCTATGCAGAGCGAGGGCCACGTTGCGGCCCATCCCCCCATCACTGCGGTGACAAGGAGAAGGCAGATACCTCTCGCATGCGCTCCCTGGTCCCGCCAGTGTGGACGCGGAGCTCACAGGGAGCGCGGTGGCTGCCCCAGGCGTGCAGCTGTTACCAATTTGGCAGGCGAAGGGCAGTGGACCGCTCCCAGGCTTCGGCTTTCACCTCGGCCTTGCTCCTTGGGGAATCCAAAGTGGCCGGTGAGGTGACATCACAGAGGTGTCGGCCAGCCCCGCCGCTCTGGGGATGGCCCCGGGCTTGCCCTGATGAGGAGGGCCTGGGTTCTGGGTGTGATGGGGCAGGGCCGGGGGCAGACCTGGCATCCCGTTGCATGGTGAACTCCGCGACGGTGACACGTCCTCCCCCTAGCCCGTGTCCCACACAGAACTGAGAGAAAAGAATGTTGGAACTGGAAGGCCCTAGGAGTTCATCCGCCCCAGCACCCTTTTTCTGAGGGAAGGGAAACCGAGCTGGACAGCGAGAGGAGTTGTCAAGGCTTTGCAGAGGCCACAGCTTCCAGAAACTCCTTCCCTGCTTCTCTGCAGCTCCCTCCCAAGCTTACGGTGTGATCTTAGCGGTTGATCGTCACATCGTGCTGCAGACCCTACCACCCAAGTTGTTGGGCAAAGCGGCAGGAATCCCACCACACAGGAAGACGGGCTGGACTTCCTCGTGAGCACATTTACGATGCCTGTTACCCCTGCAGACTCCCAGAGATGCTCCGGTGGGGAGGATGTGGTTTACAATAGACCACAAGCCCCACTGAGCAGCCGGAGGCTTCAAGTATAGGCAGTTTGGGTGTCAATGTCAATGTCATTGTGCCTCATTGTTCCCCCTCCCGAAGGTCAGGTTGGGGCCACTTCCTACAGAGCCCAGTGGCTAAAAGTCCAGACTCTGGAGTCACCGGTCAGCTCCACCGCCACTTGCTAGCTGGGTGACCTTGGACAGCTCACTTTACCTCTCTGAGCCTCGGCTTCCTGCTATATAAAATTGAAAGAAAAATGATAGTACCCGTAGCTCATAAGAAAATGTATTTATCTTCCTTAGAATAAAGCCTTATAAATGTTGGTGGTTTTTATTAGCTTAAACTTCCTGATAGAGACGGAGGGGATGGGGGGTGGCTGGAAACAGTGGTTCTTAACTGAGGACAATTTCCTCCCAGGGGACGTTTGACAATTCCTGGAGACATTTTTGGTGGCCACCACTGAAGGGGGTTGCTACTGGCATCTAGCGGGTAGAGGGCAGGGATGCTTCTAAACATCCTACAAAGCACAGAACAGCCTCCCCAGTATGGAATTCACCGTCCAAATGGCCACAGTGCTGTGGTGGAGAAAAGCCTGGCTTGCGGTGGGAAAAGGGCCAGTGTGAATAGAATGAGGTCTGCACTGAGCGGATGAGGGGAAGGAGCAAGGGTC